TTTAATGTGCTGAAACGTCTAGAACTATTGGCAACGTCGCTGCTAGTCTTCCAGAATGAAATGAGCCGGTCGTCCCACCACCTCTCGCGACGGCCCTTGGTCCGTTATAGCGTACTACGTTTAGCCAAAGGTTTAGCTTACGGTGTGTTTGAAGTCGGAATCAAGTCCTAAGTGAACTTTTCAGTGTTTTTCAGTAGTTTTTGCTTTTGTTTAACGTACTTTTGAATCTGCGAATTTTCAATATGGTACGACAGTGTCAAATGTGTGGAAAAATAAGCTCAAATTACCCGAATTTGTCTTTTCACAGGTAGGTATTGTTTCCGCCGCGCCGTAATCGCCGTTCATAGGCGTCCCACAAGGGAGCCTCTCACAATTAAAATAATTTCTAATTATATTTGTTGAATTTTGAGCTATTAAAACAAGAACGTAGTAGCCGGTTATTGAATTATAATTCGTCTCAATTACTACTTAACTGTTGTAGATCATAACAAATTTGAATATAAACGTTGCATTTGAAACTTTATTATAAGCCAGAAAGCGACATTTTTTTTCTTAAAATTGCGTCATATTTTGGTCATTATATACGATATTCTAAAGGAATTTTGCTCAACAAATAAACAAAGGTGTTTACCCGCCCCTTTTTACATTTTATTGCATTATTATATCTGCCCCTTCGGCCTCGTTTAAACAATTTTTTACCACCGTACAAATACCTCTTCCTAGAGTTATTTGTACGGTGTGTTTCACTTTTTTTTAGAATGGGACGAACTGTAAATAATTCTTAGGCTACTAGTTTTATACATACCTATATACAGAGTGACCCAGGCCTCCAAAAAAGCTTTTTACCTATTACGTTTTAGGTTTGTAATTTTTATTTCAATTTTTTACATAAGATTAGGGCCATTGTAACGCACATTTTCAAAATATTTTTGTCAACATACAGGGTGATTCTCGGGGTGATTCAAACGGCAATACATATGCTTAATACAGTTCATGAAGATTGGGACATTTAATTAAAATTTGATTGTCTAATGAAGTTACCTTTAAAAGTAATGGATTTGTAAATAAACGTAATATTCATTATTATGCGACAGAAATCCCATACTGTAGCACACAGATTTGATACTTTTAATGATAAATGCCTTCTATTGAGAGACTAAAAGGTAATTGCCTCGTATCAGAGCCATCATAATACAAGAAGAAGACCGAAAGTCAAATCTTGTCTTATATTTTCAAAAAAACACAATTTTCTCATTAAATATTGATTTTAGGTATAGGAAGTTATTAATAATACAAGATTAAACAACTATTACATAGTACTTTACAGAAAGCTATCGATTGCGAACTAACTAAATCGTTACTAATTACTAATTTTATAAAGTTCTTTTTAGGATCAAAAAAGGTAAAACTAAAACCTAAATTATCATTTGAGATTAAACGGGAAGTTCTAAATAATGTTGCCTATTCTAAACAAGAAAAATGTATTTATAAGTTTTATAACATCTCTAATTAAATTTGGACGAAAATAATTTCTGTTTGCTGTAGGTAATTTTCTCAGGGAAAATACGTAAATAAAAATGACTTTTTAAGTAAAAAAAAGTCAAAAGGACAAGTTATTCCAAAAAAGGACAGGTGGCAACCCTAGGTATTTCTGGAATGGAAATTTAATGGCAAATCTACAACTTTAGTTTGAAAATATGTTCCGGCCCCCTATGTTTACAAAAATGTCTAAAATGTGCTTTACCATTGCCTCCATATTCTGAAAAAAAAAATTGAAAGAAAAGTCACCAACCGCAAACCTAATATTGAACTGTTTCGGAAGCCTGAGTCACCCTGTAAATATTCAAAAGTAACTGAAAGTTTATATAGAATTAACTGAAAGTTTAAATTGAAAATCGATGTTGAAGCGATTTTCGAAAACTACCTACTAACGTTTCAACATAAGTATATGTGGGATATTAATTACATTATTATATTAGACCTTATAACAAAACTCATCTGACGAAAAAGTGTTAATGTAGTATATTAATAAGGAGTAAACATTTTACTAATTACTTTACTTTTACTTTACTAATTAAATTCGTTCCAAAAAACGATACGCCACTGGCCATTAGAACAATCCAAATGCGCCTAGTTGCCGGGGTCGGAAATTTTAGACTTCTCTGTCTCTTCTGTCCTTGTTTGACACATTGGAATGTTTGATACACTACCAACGAGTATTTATGAATGAGATGTTCGGTCTATATTTATAAAGTCTTTGGTAACAAGTTAAAGATGAGTTAAAGTTTTAGAAAAGAGGGACAATATGGCTTAAATATAGCATTGGCGTCAAAAAATTGTTTACACCTACAGAGGAATTGACAAATATACTTTCTACAGGCTTTCTACCAATGACTAAAGAATATAAGGACATGTAACGCCCCTATACGGGCTGCAGCAGAATTTGTGACCTTTTTTTTTGTTTTGGTGGCAAACAATGAGTCATCATTTGGTCACCAGCGACAATTTTAGCGATTTTTAATAGTTTGTGTGTAGTAAACTTTGTATAAACTTTATTATAATGGTGATTAGTTGTTCAGCTTTCAAGTGTAAAAGCAGCTGTGATAAGAAAGAGCCAGGAGTTACGTTTCATAGGTAAATAAACAGTCCACTCCAACTTTTTAGCGTTTTCTTATTGAATTCGATAATTATTCTTCAATTTCAATTAATATCTATATGTACTTGATATGTGCTATACGTCGATACTAGTTTTGTACCTTTCATTAACATTTTAATACGTTTTTTTCGTAATTAATTAGGATGATACACTATAGGCGTAGTCAAAACAATTATCAAAAAATATAAATATTGCTTCAAACAGCTAGGTTAAGAAAAATATGTGCCACGGCACTGTTTGATGGCATCGTCACAATTTGCTCTCGGGTGTTATTTGTCCTTGGATTCTTTAGTCATTGCTTTCTACCAATTTATTACTAACTAGGTGATTAAAATCTTATGATATTTTTTATTTGTGATATGGTTATTTTAATTTTCTTAGGGTTTTTGTATTTTATATCTAATAATTTTAATAATATTGTCGCAATATTGTGTTATCCATTATTGTTATATCAGTTATATTTATATTCTGTATTTTTATGGAAATTAATAATTTTTTAATTAAATAAATAATTTTTACCTTACATGTTTCATCATTTATAGTATTGTTTTCTATTGTTATAACAATATGTAGTTTATTAAAGTAGTTTTTATGTAGTTAATGAACAAGAGAAGACGTAGTTTTTGCAGAAAAACTACACGTAGTTAATCAAGTAAATTACGTCTTAATTAACTACTTAAGAACCCTGCTTTGAACTTATACTGTTTTGCGGCGGTTAGGCAGAATGTCAGTTTTAAAATCACAGATGATCACAGGAAATATCACGAACACAATAGACGAAATTCCAAACAATGTAACGAATCGTATCGATGAATCAGGCCATAGTGAGTATGGGGCCTCATACAGCTTTCCTCCTGATAATATACTAAATTTAAAACTGCAAAATTTATAACAATAATATTTTATTAAATCACAAAATTCGTTAAAAAAATAAATATCTATAGTTTACAGTTGGAGGGCGATCACAATATACACTCAGATGCAAAAAAAAACGCTACGGTCAAATTTTTGGTCTAATTTAAAGTGTTATATTTTTGTTATTTTTAGCCCTATTTTCATGATTTTTTTAGCAAGCTGTATATATAATTATATCAACTTTAATTCGCAAACTCACTTTTTTATAACCTTTAATATTTGCTAAATTTTACAGGATTAATCGAGGGGTTGTTTTTTACCTTAAATTTAAAAAACCCTGTGCAATTTCGTGTGTAAATTTTCCTAAAATATAATTTTACTGTTAGCATTTTGTTTTTTGATTCATGTCAATACATGCTTTGGTTAATTTTTAAGAGCGAAATGGACTGATAACGATCACTTTGCAATTTTTCAATTATAATTACTTTTTGATGTAATTTTTTAATATGACCGGATGGTTTTGGTGAGTATTGTCGTGACGTCATATTAAGCTGCATTGGATACTCTATACTAAATTAAAAAACGTCAAAAACGTTAAAAACTAACGATACAGTCCGGGTTTTAATAAACATTAATAACGATAACAGAACTAACGATATTAAAGAAAAAATCTGTAATACTCAAGTATACAAAACGAAAACAAAAACTGTAAAAAATACCCTAATACTTTGAATTGCCTCCCTTGGCTGCTATAACGGCCTGTATACGTCCCTTCATACTGTCATTGAGGCTGCATTTATCATATTGTTTTATGTTTTCCTATTCTTCTTCTAAGGACCAAGTGAAGTTGACTTAATGAAGCTGGTAACGCTTCGCGACCTCTAACCCTTTTACCAAACATTTCCCAAACGTCGAACATGATGGGCAGTTCAGAGTAGTGTGTAGTTCACAATAATCATCAAAACCGCCTTGTTCTTTTGAAAAATAACTTCAAAAAGAAATGATAATTGAAAAAAATTGCAAATTGTTGGTGGCGAGTTCATGTCGCTCTTAAAAATTAACCAAAGTATGTATTGACATGATCCAAAAAACAAAATGCTCAGGAGACATGGTTCTGACCGTAAAATGAAAATTTAGGAAAATTGACATGCGAAATTATTGCACAGGGTGTTTTAAAATTAGAGTAAAAAACAACTCTTCGAAGTAACCCTGTATAATATGCCAAATACTAAAGTGTATAAAAAAAACTGAGTATACGAATTAATTTATTAAGTTGATATAATTATATACAGCTTGCTAAAAAATTCATAAAAATGGGGCTAAAAATAACAAAAATATAACACTTTAAATTTGACCAAAATTTTCTCCGTTGCGTTTTTTTTGCATCTGAGTGTACATAATTATTGCAATTTTTAAAAAAATATTTTTTCATATAATAATTAATTCTAATATAAAGTACATAGAGTTTTTTAAATTCTTGTTCCTAAAATATACATTTATTTTTTTAAATGAAAATTAAATATCTCAAAATACATATACACATATATGCTCTATCTAAAATATTAGTTTACTTTTGTATATTCAGTCGAATTTTCTTAGTAAAGAATATATAATTAAATAACACCCTGTTCCACTAATTTTCTTTTTTCTTACAGATATGGGTTGTACTAATTTCCTTCTAGTTTTGTGTATTTCGCTGTCTCTGCTTGGGTATCGTTCGAATTTTCGCACTGGATTTGCTTTTCGTTTTGTCAGCTCCGTGATAGGTTAAAAATTGAGTGTTCTTGTAGCTGGAGGATGTTGAATCAGCTATACTTCTGCCATCACCTTCGTCTCTACGGGACATTTCAGAAAAAGGAGACAGTCGTTTGGGTTCGTGTTCATCTTTCTTCCTTTGATCGGCTCTAGAACAATAATATGTTTATATAAACTCTAAATAAAAAAACAACGCTTTATTGTACAAAAAGCCAAAATAGCCTCATTGACAAAGCATTTACAAAACAAACAAAAGCACAAAAAAATATACAAATAATAAAAAGTATCATACAATACAAATCAATTCAAAAAAAAATTAAAATGTCATTAAAATTACAAAAAAAAACATACATGGATATTGTAGAACACAGGCGTATCAATAAAAATTTTCAATAGGAAAATTGTAAATGGATATAATCATCTAAGAGTTAGAAAATATTAAATACTAGACCTTTAACCAGTGTGTGAGATGATTTTAAAATTCAAAATTGTTCATGATTAAACATCAACAAAAAAGTCGTTTACCCCGCATATAGGGCTCTCTCCAGTAAGTATGATTTCAGAGCTTTGCGAAATGCGGGAAAGAATGAAAGTGACTTGATATTCACAGGCAGATGATTGTACATTTTTTTGGCATTGTACAGTATTGAGCCTTTAACTAGTTCTGAGCTCGGGGTTTGGTTCCTAAGTGGATAGTTGTGTGATGGCCTTTCGATTGTGAGATGGCCACGATATGTGCTTGCGGATTAAGCAAACGGATTCAAAAATGAATAAGGAAGGAAGAGTCAGTATTTTGAAATTTTTAAAGAAATTCTGGCAGTGAGTTACTACTGTTCAGTCCCAATAAATATCGAACTGCTCTCTTTTGAAGTTTGAAAATACGATCAAATTTTGTGGCGCAGCAAGTACCCCAGAATGGAAGGGCATAACGAAGATGCGACTCAAAAAGGCCATATTAGACTATTCTAGAGGTTGATAAGTTAAGTTCCTTAGAAACTGATCTTAGCTCAAAACAGGCAGCGCTTAGTTTCTGTGATAAAGCTTCGATATGTGCAAGTCCCATTTTAACGAGTTGTCTACAACAAGTCCCTTGATTTCACAGAGTCCACGACGTCAATAGTGGTGTTATTAAATACAAAAGGTTGTATAGTATTTTTATATAACAAAACTTTAGTTTTTGAAAGGTTGATGCATAGGAGATTAGTATCGCACCAAGATTTAATGGTTATAGTATTATATAGTGCCGTAACATCTAGGCCGCTCCAAGTAAAACTAGTATCGTCCGCAAAGAGGCAGATTTCACCGCTAATATCTAGAATTGCAATGTCGTTGATAAACACCAGAAACAAAATAGGGCCAAGTACGGAACGCTGAGGGACACCACATTCTATAGGCTTACAAGACGACATAGACGTATCAATCCTCACAAGCTGTCTTCTGTTGCCAAGATATGATTTAAGCCATATAACCTTATAACCAACTTTTAAGAACTCTTTTCCACTCTTTAAGTAGCACTATTAATATTTCAATGTCACTTATTAAGTAGGTACATATTTTCTTTTTCATTTTTAATTAAATATAATTATTGTTTTACACTTTCAGTTTATAAATGTCTTGCAACGGTATAATTTTACTGTATTTGATTGAATTATACATAGGTGTTGTCAATAAGTTTAGATTTTGTTTATTTGAGTTATACTAATAAAAAAGATAAATTTCTAGGTTTAATTTCTATCCTTCTACTCTAATTTTCACTACAGCAATTAATATAAACAAAAGCAGGGCAAAAACAAAAACGTGTTTTTTGTGACTGTACTGTGATGTCTTGTGTACTTGTGAATGTACTTGTGATGTACTGTGATGTCTGACTGTACTTGTGAATGTACTTTGTGATGTCGCTTCTTTTCTCATGTTTATTTTTTGGACTTTTTATGGTTAAATGTGAAACACACTCTTCTGCATACGGGCTTTTTTAAGGATACTTTTGGTATATTTCTACTTTTACAATAGTTTCGTTACAACCAAATGCAGGACCAAATGCCTTTTATAAAAGATTTTTTTTTATTTAAATGTTTGTAACTAAGAAAATAAGTCAAGACCTATGTATGCGAGACCTGGACACTTAAAACGGACATTATAAGGAAACTGCAGGTCGTACAACGCTCAACGGAACTAAATATGCTGGGAATAACCAGGAGAGACCGTAAAAGAATAGAGTGGATACGACAAAAGATCCAGGTAATAGATGCAATCCACAGAATCAAATCCCTCAAGTGGCAATGGGCAGGACACCTGGCAAGAAGGATGGACAACAGATGGACCACAAAAATTAGAGGAACTAAGAGACTTAGAGGAAGACCAAACTTGAGATGGAACCATGATATTAGGAAATTAGCAGGGATAACTTGGGCCCGCATAGCCAACAATAGACAACAATGGGCCCAACTACAAAGAGAGTATCTAAATATGTGAGGGAGGCTACACCATAATTGGAAATGGTTGAATAAGCTGAGAATGATGATGATACTGATAATGATTTAAGATAAAAAAGTTTTGGGAAATGTCTCATTTTTACACCAATTCTGGCAAACTTACTTTCTGGCAAACTCATTGTCAAAAAAAAATGTATGGCATATTGGCTTATAAAAACTATAATCCTAATACAAAAATGTATATGAATAAACAATATTTGACCAATTACGACAAATATAAGGACATATACCGTGCTGGCAACTGTTACTTTTGGGTCGGCATTTACATGTCTGGAAGTAAATCGCATAGGGCTCTTATTAAGTCAGAGTGCGAGAAATGCGACGGTGTGCTGTTGCGGCGTTGCCGGTACGCCTTTCTTTTCGAAACGACTTTTTTTTCAAGAGATAACTAGATAAAATCATTAGACATGTTTCTGAGCATCTGAAATGGAATTATAAGGATATCGTTAAGGTGTCATTTTTTTATAACGAGAAAACGTCAGTAATCGCGATAATTTAAAAACTCAACTTTTTAACACATAACAACCCATAACTCGAGAACCACTTTCGATATTGAAACTTTTTTTTATTTTCAAGATCGGATATTTTATAATATGTTTATATAAGAAAAATTCGATAAGGTTGTTTTTTCCATTCAAAAGTTGTAAACAATCCATCCATTTACTTTTAGAGCATAGGAATTTTCAGCAATCGTGTAATTTTTTTATTAATAAAGATTTTCACATACTGTCTACAAAGAAAATACAGCGGAAATATTAACAAAATTCTTGAAAAAACTACAATCTATTATTTCTAATAGATTTCGAGATATCGATTTTTGAATTCAGAGTTCTAATAGCGCGACCACTATCGAACACCCACTCAATTCCACTTATTTTTACCAAAAATGCAAGTGTTTCTAGCTTGCACTCAATAAATTCAAGCTAAAGGGAAAATTACAACGACTGGTTAATAAATATAAACAAATTAAGTATCACGAGACGTAATTAAATCGTGAAGCTGAACGCATGACGTACACCTTTCCCTAGAACTTTAAGTACTGACAGAGGTATTGATTGGGTCGACCGGTCAACTGCGACAAATCTGACTTGTGTCTAGCCCTAGCAGGCAACTATTAAGCCCGACCAATCACGTTAGAGTTTTTGACAAACACAAATGAATTAACACACTTCAAATAACCACGCTAACAAACCTGATTGGTCAAGCTTAAAAGTTGACTGCTAGAGCTAGACACTTCTCAAATCTGCTATATCCCCTTCCACGTCTCTTAGCGATGTGCACAGTTTCTCGGTTTATTTCATACGTTTGGCAACGTGTTTACTGTCCTCTCTTTGTTCAGTACATTATAAACGCATTGTACTCTTCTTACATACGGAAATCTCGACCCAAGACTAACCTTTGCCAGCCCTTAGTATGATATTTATGGTAGTTCTGAATTTTACTTACTTTAAGACTTTCTTATTTTTCACTTCCCTTTCTAAAATATCAGCTGTCGTGAGGTCGGAACTTTGAATTTGCTGAATAGCACTTGCATTTTCAGTTAACCATGGTTTGGATGATTTAGATTTTTGGCAAGTACATCTTTCCATCTTACACCTTTGGCAGTTTGATCCATTCACTTCGTTGCTTATATCTTCGTCGTCTAATATACCTATAGTAAAAATGACTGTTATAAAGATGTTATCATGATGTTATTTGACTTTTCAGCATCTTTTTCTAAATTGTGTTCTAAATTAAAAATGAAATCTGTCATCATTATACGAGGGAAAACAAAATGTTGATATTTTGGTGAAAGTTTGAAGAACACTGTGGAATATGTTAACAAAGCAAGGAATATACAAATCATTTTATTATCTAGGTACGTCTTTTCTCGATAGTTTGTTTTTTGATTCATCTCAATAGCTTTATTTTTAATGGAGATATTTGCTTTTAAAAAAGACAGTAACAATTTACCGCAATTTTAGCACTGATTTTTGTTGATTCTCATCAACACACTTATAAAATAGTATTTATTGTTTTTGTAATGTCACTGTCATTGAAAAGCCATATTATTATATTGATGTTTACTCTAGTAGATATGGTTTTAAGTTCTAATGATGAACTATTGCTGCTTTAATTATTGATCATGGTAGAGATCAACTTTTGGACCTAAAACCATATCCGCTAGAGTTGGCTAGAGCTGCCCAACAGACAATAATAATATGATTTTTCAAAGAAAGTGACATTACATAAATCATGAGCATGAACACTACTTTATAAGTCTGTTTACTAGAACCAAGATTAAAGGCATGGTTTTAATAAACAAATTCGAAAAAATGATACACCTAGAGGACAAAATTATTTTAAAAAATTATTTTAATTTTGTTTTCCTTTGTATAATTTATAGATGGCAACTTTTGTTTTTAATTTAGAAAGAGATACTAAAAAGTAAAATAATTTAGCTACAAATTGCTAAAAACATCATCAAAATCGGTCCACTGGAACCAATGACTAAAGAATCCAAGGACAAGTAACACCCGAGAGCAAATTGTGATGATGTCACCAAACAGTGTCGTGGCACATATTTTTCTTAACCCAGCTGTTTGAAGAGATATTTATATTTTTTGATAAATGTTTTGACTACGCCTATGGTGCATACGGTGGAATCATACTAATTAATTACGAAAAAAACGTATTAGAATGTTAACAAAAGGTACAAAACTAGTATCGACGTATAGCACACATCAAGTACATATAATATCAGAAAAGTAATTATCGAATTCAATAAGAAAACTAAGAAACCGCTAAAAAGGTGGAGCGGACTGTTTATTTACCTATGAAATGCAACTCCTGGCTCTTTCTTATCGCTGCTGCTTTTACACTTGAAAGCTGAACAATTAATCACCATTGTAATAAAGTTTATACAAAGTTCACTACACACAAACTATTAGAAATCGCTAAAATTGTCGCTGGTGACCAGCTGATGACTCATTCGTTGCCATCAAAAGAATGGCGCCTAAGGTCACAAATTCTGCTGCAGCCCGTATATGGGCGTTACATGTCCTTATATTCTTTAGTCGTTGACTGGAACACAATATATAAAACTTTAAAATATATGAAAATTTTAAGGTGTCCGTTTTTCGTGCTGGTGAGTGTATTTGATACAAGATAATCTAACCTAACTAAACATGTTAAAATGTTTTGGAGAATTATTATTACGCTTACCTAAAGTAATCTTCTCCAATACAGTGTTGTCGGTTTTTGGAGCAGAACTATTAGATTGATTTAACAACAACTTAGATAATGGCGGTGCTAATCCTAGACCAATATTTCGTTCATGATACACCTAAAAGTTACACCTTGAATAAAACTACTCAGATTTAATAGTTTTATTTTACCTCAGATATTGTAGGCGTCATTTCTCGGTTTATGTGCCTCAACTGAGTTGCCAAAATTGTGTCGTGGAGTGCAGCCGCGCTATTTGATTTAATCCCAACTGTTGCATCCGATTTCGTACCGACCAACTCCGGATCATCGCCTTCACCAGTTGCTCCTACTGTAGTTGTTAATGGTACTCCTACAGCAGTTGTTGCCATAGATACCAAAGATGATAGAGTTGCTGTTGTGTCTGATTCGTTTGGTGAAAAGTATAACAATCTTTCATTTGAAGGAAGCGTTTCCTCGCTCGGTAGAGTTATTGGTTTGCGGTTGTTTGACAGCTGCGGTTGAAGTAGTACTGATGGCGTTGGATGAGATACCTTAAAACATAAATTTATTTTATATAGTATATTATTATACGGAGTGCTACAAATTCGAGGTACGAGCATTGGTATCTCGGTAACCGTAATAGATACGAACATGGTTAAATTGGGGCAAAGTTGCCGTATTGGAATGTTCATCAAGATGCCATCAAAAACGTTTTAAAAATTTCAAGGATTGCTGAGTTTTTTGGAAAAAACTGATTTTGTTGAAAATCAATTTTATTTTTTCCTGTCGTTCATTTTTAGAAAATCAAAAAACTAATTTCACATTCTCATAGCCACTTTATTAGGGCTATCTGATAGTATTTTTAGATTTTCAAATTAGCTGATAATTTGTGAGTTACAGAGACCAACATAATTTTTTTGAATACGGATCTGCATTTTTTATTTGATGCTTTGAAAGAAATCGGTCTCCTGAATACAATGATATGCCACACTTTATACTTTTTTTTGTTTGTTTTGGAGACCTTAACAGCAGCAAAACTATTTAATTATTATTTAAAATAATTTCAAGTCCGACTCTGCTTTCTGAATTTGAAATTTCAGTGTGCGATCTAATAACATGCATATTATTAATCGTAGTTATTATAAATAAATCAACTACTACAAACTAGTTTCTAATGTTCTGCATGTTCGAAAGGGTTACCACCCTCTCTATTGCGCAAATTTATTTTTCGCTCAATTTTATTTATAGCTCTATTATATAGCTTTATTTATTATAGGTAAACTTTTTTTATTGTGAATTTGAAATCTCAGTGTACAATCTAATAATATGCATAATATTAATCGTACTTATAAACAAATCAACTTCTCCAAACTAATTTCCAATGCTCTACATGTTCGAAAAGGTGACCACCCTCTCTATAATGCACACATTTATTTTTCGTTCAATCTTATTTATAGCTCTTTGAACATATCTTCTTCTTATACTTCCGATTGCATTTTGTATTCTTTATTGTAAATATTGAGATGAATTGATTTTACTTTTACAAATGACATCAAATAATGTAGCCCCTTGGCGATAGGTGCAGGAACCTCGCTAGACATTGTACTACTCTACCATTTCCAATCCATCTTCCCGGAAAATGATTTGATTGTTTACATTATATTATATTTATAAAAATTATTTTATTGCATTTGATTTTCCGTATTCAATGTTTTACCCCACGTCATTGTTAAGTTTGAAAGCTTATCAATATTGTAACGATGAATAGATTAAATATAAAAAAACAGAGCCGGACTTGAAATTAGTTTAAATAAATTGTGTTCAAATACCAAAACAAAAGAAATAAGTGTGGCAATCATTGTACTCACGAGACCGAATTCTTTCAAAATCTGAAATAAAAAATGCAGGTCCGTATTTAAAAAAAGTAAGTTCGCCTTTGTATCTCAAAAATTATAAGCTAATTTGAAAATCTAAAAATACTATCAGATAGCCCTAATAAAGTGGCTATGAGAATGTGCAACTAGTTTTTTGATTTTCTAAAAAGTAACGACAGGAAAAAAATTTTTTCAAAAGAGTTTTTTCCAAAAAACTTAGCAATCATTTTTAAAACTTTTTTGATGGCATCTTGGTCAACATCCCAAAGCGCAACCTTGCTTCAATTTAACCATGTTCGTATCTATTACTGTTACCGAGATACCAATGCTCGTACCTCGAATTTGTAGCACCCTGTATTGCTAAAGTGTTTGTGTTTTACCTCTGTTCTTACACTTAGTCTATCAAGAGTGCACATTGAATTTCTTGACTTTTTAAATGTTATTTTAACTCGAGGATTAGTACTGAACATTTTCGCTTCCATTTTTTCTAGTTCGCTGTCAGAACTGTTCTCAAACATACCCGGTGGCAGGTTATTATACAGTGGCAAGTTGACGAGAGGTTTATTTGTTCTAGGAGGTGGCAAGGGAGGCATCTAGATAAAACAAGAATTAGTTGGTTTACAAAACAAATTAAAGACATTTGTTTTTACCTGGTTTTGGGTTTGTCTTCTTAAAACTGTAGCGTGGCCACTCTCCCAATCTGTTGCTGAGCTTGCTGAACTTGAACTATCGGGTCTCATCGGGTCTGCTTTGGAGTCGGTTTGTGGATATAGAGATCTTGAAAAAATAATATTGTAGTAAATAATATGAAAATCATATTTACTCCCACTTAAATACTCCCAGAGAAATGAAGCATTAAAATTGAGGGGTCCAGGGAAAAATGTATATTTCGTATACACGTACCACCCGGTATATCCATATTATGGACATATTAAAATGCAGCGTAATATTGCCTATTATAATTACCGTACCGTTAGATTAACACCACTACGTTCAAACGGATCGCTTCAATAAATGCAGCCGGAATTAGCGGTACACCTAGTGGATAAATCGAAATTTGAATATCGAATATTTAATACTATTGCACTATTAATTTCCATTTATTTTCACTTAATGCCATTTCACTTAATTTACATCTATTTAAAGAAATATTAGAACACGCATGTTATCAGTTATTTCTTTAGTAATTTATTTTTTTAATAACAAACATAACTCACCTTATTCGTGATTGGTGGGCAAGAGACATAGCTATACTAGTATTTTCTGGTTGCATGACTACTGGAGGACTAGGAGTAAAGGCTGCATCGGACTCTCCTCCGCCAGGTCGAGATAAAGTATTATTTTTACGTACTTTAATATCCGGCATGGTTTTAACGTCTGTAGGATTTGCTGTTCGGCCATCAGGTTCACCTAGAGAAAATACAATTAATAAAAAGAATTGTTGTTGTAAGATCTAACACAGTAGTGTTAGATACACTCTAACACTAATAACGCAATGTAACAACTACTATGTTACATTGGTGAAACATCTAGACCCTTAAATTTTAGAATTAAAGAACATAAAGATTATTTATGAAAGGGAGATTTTCACAAATCTAAGATTTGTCAGCATTCATAGAACACAGGGCACAGAATAAATTTTAATAACGCCAAAATTATAATGAAAGAAGCGATAGCCTCTAAAAGAAAAATAAAAGAGGCTTTTTTAATTCAATCTAATAAAAATAAATGTATTGCTCATGCATCTGTAGATGTTAGTAATGTATGGCAATCGCTTCTTTGATTTTATAGAACATAACATAAATAAACATAACATATGTGAAATTTAAAAATAATCATACAGAAAGTTTGGGGCATTTTGGTTTTATCTTATTAAGTCATTGTTATCAGGTAGTAATTGTTAATTCTAAAGTTTAACTTGATATAATGTCATTTTATAACCTAATCTAACCTAACCTAACAGAACGTCAACGGTTTCTTGTAGACGTATCTGTTTTAAAAAAGTAAGGTGTTCTCGAATAGTTGAATTTAAATATTTTAAATAGTCTTTTTCTTTATCCTTTGTATTTTTTTTTGCTTCCAACGACGGAAAGAGATAAACTTTCCGAAACGTTAAGCATTTTTTTCTTTGCTAGGCAAATTTGTATAACTGCAAACATAACTTCTGACAAGTAGTGTCCGTTTGGGTTTAACGCCCAGAAGTGTTTACAAAAAATAACTATTTTATTTTGTAGATTTTCTTGCAGTGCAGTGGCGAAATACCCATATAGGATTTTTTTGGAGAGATAAATCCGCCACATAGGTATAGACATTTTTTATATTTTATAATATTAAGCATATCCTTGTAACTTACCACGTCTCCTGACATATGACGTAAACGCACCGCCAAGTCGTTTATGTGGCAAGACTGTTCGACTGAATGGAGGTGGAACTCTCTTTGTCAAAACTTTTGGTGTCGGTTGGGGAGTCGAGCATATTTCATTGTCAGAGTGTGGATAATCATTGTCGATAGATGGAAGAGATTCTAAACTGCTAGATGAATCGATAGTAAGACTCTTGGGTGCTTCCTGAGTGTCTGTAAATAAAAAAAATAATTTGTAAGTTGGCTTATAGAAACAAAAATGTCTACTTACCAAATAATGCCAATAGGGCTTGTAAGGTGAACTGTAAATTTCTTTTATTGGCTTGTTTTCCAGTTCTCAGTGTTACTTTATCTTGACCTACATCGCAAAGGTCAAAACCAAGCGATGCCAGAAGTTCATGACATCCAGGTACTCTCCATAACCTAAAAAAATAATTATTATATCTCGATAAATAGAAATAATATCAAATAATAACAATACCTGACATTTAAAGCTACATCCACCGTATCGTTTTCTAACGATTTGGAAGAAAATTGAGATAGTGCTGCTTGAATTACAGCGATAATATCATCGGCCACGTCAGGATTTGAAGTTAGTTTTGATAGAGCTTGTATGGAGGTACTTGTAAGACCTAAAATATTAAATTAGTGGTAAATTAAGAGTTCTAATTTGATTACTCTATCAATTATTACTCTTACCTAGTAATGCCTGTAAACTAGCGGAGCATTGAGTCAACCTTTCATCAGGATCAGATTGAGGAAAAAATACACTACTTGGAATGCCGTTGGAGGCTGGTTCAAACCTAAACCCGACAGACATCAGTAGTTCTTTCCATCCTGTCACAGTACCAACCTAAACGTCAAAGCCAATAAAAATATAACGCTAAGGGCAAGATTTTCTCAAACAATTTACCTTATTTTCAATTGATTTTTGTGTGGTGTACATTGCATTTTTCTGTCCCCTATGAATCCTTTGTAAACTTTTCTCAACTAAGTGGAGAGTAACTCTTAAAGCATCTCTACATTTATCAGGAACTTGTAATAATTCGCATAAAGCTTGACCCATTAAGGCAACCTAAACCAAGATAAACAATAGTAATTAATAGAACTTCATTAAGTAAAGCTATAGAAACATACCTTATTTGATAGCCTCACGTTTAATCCAATCAAAACAAATCCAGCCCAATTGGCAGGATGTGCAAAATGTTTTGTGTGTTGTACAGTCTGCATTGCTTCACTTAAGGCTTTTGCTGCTCTGGTGCCTTGAAGTAAAGCTGAGTAAAATGCTCTAAAAGAGGAAAAACAATATAATAAATACATACGAAACAAATGTTATACGAGGCATATTTTTTAAGTAAGTACCGTTTTGCGATTCCACCGCCGCAGCGCTACGGTCGGCGTTCCGCGCATGCGCGCTGGTTACCTACATCTCTTGTCTATGCACAGACGCCAGTACAGTCTGATTCTTCATTGTATACGTTGTTTATTGAGTGTTTAAGATGCCTCCGACAATCGTGAGCCCCGCCGATTCTGAAGTACGGGCTGTCATACGATTTCTTCGTGCTAAAGGCGTAAAACCGATCGATATTCATCGTGAGATCTGTGAAGTTAACGGACAAAACATTATGAGTGATGGACTGGTAAGGAAATGGGTGAGAGCATTTAAAGATGGCCACACAAATGTGCATGATGAAGAACGGAGTGGGCGTCCTTCGGTCGTTAATGAAGATTTGGTGCAGAAAGTGGACGAAAAGGTGAAAGAAAACAGACGCTTTACAATTTCATCATTGTGCGACTACTCTCCTCAATGTTGTCGTAGTGTTTTGTATCGCATTGTGACCGAGAACTTGAATTTTCGGAAATTGTGTTCACGTTGGGTTCCGAAAATGTTGACGGATTTGCACAAAACCCAACGTTTGGCAGTGCATTGACTTTCCTTGAGCAGTACCACAATGAAGGTGAAGATTTTTTAGACAAAATTGTTACTGGTGACGAAACATGGGTGGCCTACGTCACACCAGAATCGAAACAACAGTCCATGGAATGGCGACATTCATCATCACCCAAAACAGTGAAGTTTAAGCAAACAATTTCTGCCCAGAAAATCATGTGCACAGTTTTTTGGGACAGAAAAGGAGTATTGCTAGTGGAGTTGCTGCCTCGTAATGAGACAATCAATGCAGCATCTTATTGTGAGACATTGAACAATATGCGCCGTGCAATCGAAAACAAAAGACGTGGCAAGTTGAGTAAGGGTATTGTTTTGCTGCATGACAATGCCCGTCCACATGTGGCTAATCGGACCAAAGATCTCATCAAATCTTTTAAATGGGAAACTCTAGATCATCCTCCATACAGCCCTGATCTGGCGCCCAGTGACTACCATTTATTTCTGCACTTGAAGAAACACCTGGGCGGTCAGCGTCTTCAAGACGATAACGAAGTCAAAACAGTTGTCATACAGTGGTTAACCAGTCAGGCGGCAGAATTTTATGAGGAGGGTATTGAAAAACTGGTGCCACTTTATGACAAGTGCCTCAATATTCACGGAAATTATGTAGAAAAGTAGATTAAGGTACAGGCTTTCATGTAAAAATAAAATTATTGCGATATCTTTGCACTTTTTTTTTAATTCCAAAACGGTACTTACTTAAAAAACATGCCTCGTAGTATAATATACCTCAAAAGAATTTTTGTAGCTGTATCTGGAACAGGCCACAATGATACAAGAACTGCTTGAGCTCCAGCAGCTAATAGTGCTCGTACTAAAGCCACAAGCCCATCCGAAGTAGCCCATCCTTGTTGATCTCTGGTATGGGATGAGCTCACCTAATATATTTATGGTATTTTATTTAAACATTACAATTTAAAAAAAAATATATTACCACTACTAAACGGGCTGATAATTTTAAAGATAAAATATCTGCAGCACTCAATAAAAATTCAGAAAGGGGAGGAATCTCGGTACTGATTGACACTTCGCTGTGCTCATCTTCTTCTGAGTTATCAGTAATATAAAGTCGCTTTGTTGGTGATTGTTCCAATACCTAAAATCAAATATTTTAAAGTATATAATAATTTAATTGTTGACTTCTCTTTACCTCTGCTGGGCAAAGAACTAAGCTGGACAATTTCCAAGATACATGTGTGGAAAAGTGTACACATTCTGCCTCTTGAATCTGGGTCAAGACCTGCTCTTTGGTAGCATTATTACCAACTAGAACTTGAGACTGTAAGAGCTCCGCTACCATAGTAGCTTCTTGTTCAGCTTGAGGGATATCTTTCCAACCCCAATGATCCGTAATAGTAGGTGGCAATTTTGGATTGCCTACTATAAGACTACGCACCTAAAATAAAGCTTTTAATAAGATAACTAAATGGACTTTATTATTATTTTACTGTTTGATTTGTGTCTTGTTTTCTTGTCCTACCGGATTTTAAGGACATTAGATTTGGCACAACTAATAAAGAAAACCTTTCGCATAAATATTCGGAATTTTCATTTGCCGATCGTAAAACAGGGAATGGAACCAAATATAAATCTCCTTCAAGAACTAATATGAGTTCCCTCTTATTACCCGCATTCTTTGAACTTGCACCTAATTAATGATAACATTATTAATATTTAAAAAAATAAATGAATCATAATTACTTTTTGATGGCAAATAGTCTTCAAAGGGCTGCAAGAGTAGTGTATACAAAGCATGCAAACAACTAGGTCCTTTCCAGAGTTGTCTCCTTGAAACCCTAGTAGAGCCTTGAGCACTAGAACTAGATCTGGTACTACCTTGAAGGGAAGCAACTGAGCCTCCGACACTACCCAGTGAGAAAAGAGAACTTAAAGAATAGTTACTGGAGTTCATCAAATGCTGTCTGTTTACCATCCTGAGAAAACCTAGAATTTCATAAATATTATAAATTATTATAGTTTTATCAATTTTGTAAAAAATAGCCCACCTGTTCTTTCAGATACATTATCGTCAACATATTGGTCTTCAGCTATTGTACTACAAGGATTTAACTCCAAACCTAGACTATCTCTCACTGATATCACTAATTTCTCTAATAAACCCGTGCCACTTGGAACCGGATCAATATTGTCAAAGTTATCTGCAGATTCTTGTGATTCCATCAATGGCGCTGAATGGAACTTGACTATTCCTAAAATAAATTTCAGTTTAAGTAATTGACTTTCTAAATGACTCTATAAATTACCTTTGGAAGGCAAGATTAACCACGCATATAAAAATCCAGTTGCTATACTATAGTAGAGTGCAGGTGCTCTTTGTCTATTTACAATATCTTTAAGGTGATCTAAGGTACTTATATCCATTATGTCACTTCTCATTCCTTTGCATTTGGATTTAGAATCGTTTAGTCCTTGTCTTTCTAATAAGAGGTCCACAAAAGCTCTATTTCTACCCCTCTCGGCGACAACTAAAGCATCGTCGGGTCTATTAAGGGAAATTAATACTCTTTGTAAAACTTGATAACTCGAAGACTGTAGTTCAAACAGCGAGAGTTTGTATTCAGAACTATTTTTCGTTTCTCTTCGTATGCCTTCTAAAACATGGGTGGCGGCTTCTAGTTGCTTCTGAGCACCATCAAGGTCTCTATTTGCATATAGCGCCAACCCTAAACGATTTCGAATTTTTGCCTGAAACGTATTATTATTAAATAAAAATACGAAATAATACTTATAAAACTTACTTCTTCATCTTTTTTACCTAGCGCTTCTGCTATACAAAGACCTTGAGTCAAATATGCTATCGCTTGCACTTTGTTCCCTAGTAACTGATACACTCTACCTAAGGCACTATAAGCTAAAGTTTTGGCAATTTGATCATTTGTACTCATAGCAATAGACAAGTGTTGTTCTTGGTATTGAACAGCTTGGTCTAATTTTCCTAAAGATTCGTAAACATTCCCTAAAACAATTTGAAATTTAGTTTATTGTTAAATATTAAAAAAAAATATATTATCTACCTATACTTCCACAAGCTCGACTCTGTAAAGTTGGCATATCTAGTTGTTCGGCAATTTCTAGATCACTTTGGTGATATTTTAATGCAGTTGAATATTCTCCCATTTGTTGATATACATTGCCCAATCCGCATAGAGCTTCAGATTCCATAATTTTGTCATCTGAAGAAATATTAATAGCAATGTAATATTATACACTCAGACGCAAAAAAACGCAACGGAAAAATTTTTGATCCGGTTTAAAATATTATATTATTTTTTTTTTGTTTTTAGCTCTATTTTCTTGATTTATTAAGAAAACTGTATGTACATAAATATATCAACTGCAATTCGTAAACTCAGTTTATTATAAACTTTAGTATTTGACTTACTATACAGGGTTAATGGAAGAGTTGTTTTTTATCCTATTTTTAATACACCCTGTGCAATAATTTCGTAAGCAAATTTTCCTAAAACATTATTTTTCGGTCAGATACCTCTACACTCCATAGTCAGAACCATGTCCGTAGTTTTGACAAGTTTTTTGTTTGTTTGTAAACTTAGTTATTACAGTTACTTTTTTCTATCCTTAATTCCGTTAGTGTTACACATATTTAAGAAAACCAAGCTTGTATTTTAGCGTTTTTAAATTTTAATGTATCCGGGGGAGGCAATACAAGGTATTAGAGTATTTATTACAAGTTTTTTGTTTGTTTGTAAACTTAGTTATTACAGTTACTTTTTTCTATCCTTAGTTCCGTTAGTGTTACTAATATTTAATAAAACCAAGCCTGTATTTTAGCGCTTTTAAATTTTAATGTAGCCGGGGAAGGCAATACAAAGTATTAGAGTATTTTTTACAAGTTTTTTGTTTGTTTGTATACTTAGTTATTGCAGTTATTTTTCTTTCTATCCGTAGTTCTGTTAGTGTTTCTAATATTTAATAAAACCAAGCCTGTATTTTAGCTTTTTTAAATTTTAATATAGAATTCTAATCAGTGTCGATATGATATAACAACAATATAGTCACCAAAGCTACCTCGTGATATTAAAAAATAACATTATAAAGTATTGATAGTTGGTAGCTGAAAAAATTGCAAATTGTTGGTGGCAAGGTCATTTTCTTAAAAAATAACCAAGGCATATGCTGACATGAGTCAAAAAAGAAAATGCTAAGAAAACATGGTTCTGATTGAAAAATAATGTTTTAGGAAAAGTCACAAGTTAGGGTAGAAAAGAACCCTTCAATTAACCCTGTATAATAAGCCAAATTATAAAGTTTATAAATTAAAGTTGATAGATTGATATACAGTTTGCTAAAAAATTAATGAAAATAGAGCTAAAAGTAAAAAAAAATATATGTGTATATGTAGAGTGTATATTTTCCTTTAATTAAAATTAGACTTACTTAAATCCCGTGCAATGCTCTTCTGATGTTCCAGACATGACACTGCCTGTTCTAAGTTACCTAACGTAGCATGAAGTTGGCCCAATTCACCATAAGCTGCTGCTTTAGCTTCAGGTATTCCCAATTCATGAGAGACAACTAATCGTTTTTCAAGGCAAACCAGAGCTTGCTGAAGATTGCCCAATGATCTTTGTGCATGTCCTAAATTATAAACTTTTATTATTGTTAATATTTTAAATATAAAACTAGTTTTAACCTAATCCTCTATAGGCTCGTTCTTGGTCCCGAATACTTTTTAATTTTAAAGAAATAGCTAAATATTGCTCGTGACATTTAGCAGCCTCCTCTGGATCACCTAGAGCATCGTAACAATCTCCTAAGCTACCGAAGGCTCGTCCTTTGTCTAACTGAGCTGTCGAGCTGCTTAACCTCTCTAAAGTTGCTAATTGTTGTTCAAAATGACCTATTGCATCCTCATAGTGTGTCATATTCATTCTAAATTATACACAAATAAATAAGCATATGATATTTTTTTGTTAATTTAAGATTACAAACCTGGCAATTCCTAAATTTCCATACGATTGAGCTTCAACCGCACAATCTTGTAACTCTTGTGCTCTTTCAAGTTGCTCCTGATAGCACTTTACAGCGTGAGTATAATTTCCTAATGCCATATGGACCGCGCCCAAATGTCCGTGAGCTCTGCACTCGCCAGATAATTCAGACATCTCTTGTCTTAAAGTTAGTTCTTGAGTATGATACCCTAATAATATTTTTTTTTTAATTTTTTAAAATTAAATTCGACTTTAAAGTTCAAAATAGGACCTACCTAAAGCTTTGTCAAATCGTTTTAGTAACCTATGCGCTGTTCCTAAAGCACCACATGCTGCTGCTTCCATAGTTCTGTCTCTGTCGCTTCTAGCCAAAGCCAGCTGTCTATGGTACATTTTGATTGCTTCCTCAGTTTCTCCCATTTTAATTAATACATCCCCAATATTGCCCAGTGCCCGAAACTTGCCTAAAATTTGTATTTGTTAATGAAAAATTTAATGTTTTTAAATTTAAATAAACCTGCTAAATTATTAGTCATGTGTGCTATTGCCAGAAAATACTTTTGGCATTCTAACGACGTATCTAATTGTCCCAAAGCTAAATGCGCCAAACCTAGGTTACAGTACGCTCTTCCCATGTTCATTTTGTCTTGCAAATCTTTTGCTAAGGCAAGATCTTGATCATAATATCGCACTGCCTCTCGATAGTTACCAATACAGTAATGAGCATATCCTAAAATATATGATGGTACATTTCAGGATAATAAAATTAATATTTTTCAAATTATTACCTAGAAAATGACACGCTTTTGCTTCCCCTTCAACATCAGACAGTTCTTGTGATAACATTAAATATTGCTCGTAGTATGGAATAGCTTCAGCAAACTCTGACCTGGAGCTAAGGCAATTAGCTAAATTCAAAAGAGCACACGCTTCACCTGCGGTATCTTTTAGTTCTCTTGCAATTCCTGAGAATTTAGAATTAATTACATTGTAATAATAGACATGCAGTATGTAAAATATACCTAAATGAGCTCTATAATGTAGTAAGGCCATGTCATGCGCGCCCAAAGCTTGATAAGCGACAGCTAGGTTTCCATGTGTACTTGCCTCTGAACTCCTGTCATGTACTTCCTAAATTTTTATGATTTTGTGTTATATAGTTTAAAATATACAATATAAAATATGTCGTTATAGTTTACCTTGCTTATGGTTAATTCTTGCTTATGATATTTTATAGCTGATTCATAGAAACCAGCTGCGGAATAAGCATTTCCTATATTGCCATACGCCCTTCCCATTCCTGCTCGATCTTGAAGACTTCTAGCTATTGCTAAATGGGCTTGGTGTAGTTTAAGTGCGGCATCATATTCTCCTGAAATAGTTAAATATCATATTAAAAATATAGTAGCTAAATATTATGAATTACCCAAGAGTTGATAAACTATTCCTAAATTGCTACAAGCCCTTCCTTCGCCCAGTTTGTCCCTGGTTGCTAGTGCGACATCTAATTGACGCTCGTGCCAGTGTTTTGCTTGAACGAAATCACCTGCACATCTAGATGCGTGTCCCAGACCAGCGTATGCCCGTGCTTCTACACACCTGAAATATTAAAATGTGTAATTTGGTTCAATAAAATGAATAATTTTTAATTAAGAGTACGATAAATAAATGATAATATAGACGATAATATAGGGTGTCCCAGAAATAAGTGCAGATATTCTAAATGGTAGTATATTTCAGCCCCAGAAACACACATATGAGGGTTTTTTTGGGAAAAAATTGTTGAAAATGTTATATGGACATTTTTCCGGAAAATTTTAAAAAACTTTTTAGTGCCACTTTTTTATTCACCTGAGATATATCTAAACCAGGCAGAGGTATATCTAAACCAGGCAGCGTTGCTACCTCCTACATTATCAATATTCAACATATTATTTTGTATCCACTGTAATTTTAAATTTGTACACAAAAAATTATGAATTCTAGTCAAATCAGTGTCTATTACTAACAATTCTAGAAACAAACCACATTAATTATTTTTACGCATACCACATTTTTATATTTATTTTTAACTATACGGGTTGTTAATTTGTTTATTACTCGCGGCAAGAGCTTTATGGTTGAAATATGGCAACCTCGGCCCGCTAGTCGATAGACGACGCGACGGGACGAGTCGGCAGAAAACCCTATAGGTGCATGCGTTCTCAATAGGCAGTGTTGCCATTCTGTTCCCCTATAAGTAACTGTCCAGTTAACAACCGGTATATACTTAAAAAATAACTCTTAACTTTCCCATATTACGAAATAGGTTCAATAAAAAAACATTCTTTTAAATATTTCGTTTGTACTTACCCTTTCAATTAGAACCAAACTGGGTATACTATTTCCGAAGTCAATTGGAAGTACTGAAACACTTAATTCCTTTTTCCCGATGGTGCCGACAAAGGCGCCGACAAAGACAGCAGGCCGAAATTATCAGAGTCCCAATCTATTCCAACTGACTTCAGATAAACTATAAAATTATTATTATGAGGTTTACGAAAATCATCATTATACCGCAAAATAACTTGATTTAGAACTAAATTTAATAAAATAATTCACCACATTATTCATACTGAGATCGCATAAAAGAAAATACGAACATGTTTATCGGAATTCACTATTCGGAACATCGACAACACCCGACAAATAAACCGTAGTACGAACAACACACAACAACTCACTCCAAGTTCCAAGGATTTCAGATATCATACTTCTTTTGACTATCTGGCAACACAGAGCGTCGAATAAGCTCGAAAAACCTCGCGAAAAAACTGTAATAGACGGTTATCGCCAGCTGTTCTCAAAATGCTGCCATTATTTTTTTAAAATTTCAAAGTTAAATAACTCGGTTATTTTCAATTTATTTTAAAAATGGTAAAGAGAAAAGATGTTTCTTTTGTCCTAATCTACCACCCTTTAAAATATCTGCACTTATTTTAACTGGTAGTTTAGTTCAACCCCAGAAACACGCCTATGAAGTTTTTTTCGCGAAAAAAAATTTTGAAAATTCGAAATTTTTTGAAAAATTTTTTAGAATTTTTTTTTAGTTTTTAGTTAAAAAAACATAATTTCTTGATAATATGGCAACATAAGTATTAGATTAAATTTACAAGAAAGAAAATCCAGAAAAAATCCAGTGGTTCTCAAAATTTTAGCAAAAAATTATCTTTTTTTAATTTTCAAAGTAAAATAAACTCCGTTATTTTGGACCTATTTGAAAAACGATAATGAGGAAATATGTTTCTTTTATCGAGATCTATCACCCCTTAAAATATTTGCACTTATTTCTGGGACTTGCTTATAAAGGGTAAAAATTCTTACTTGTCGCCTATAGCTTGCGCTAGTCTCAAAACTTTCTCATGGTATACTATAGCCTGGGCAAAATTTCTTTTATAATGATAACTTGAACCTAAATTACTGTACGCTCTTGCTTCTTCAACCTAAAATATTTAATCCCATTATATAGTTCCAAATTACTTGTAAACTAATACTATAATGTCTGAAATAAAAAATAATCTGAAAAATAATTTCTTAATACACCAGTACCAATACTCAATATTCACTTAACCATCAACTGGCGTGGTGGGGTCCAGCGGACCCCAAGCACTATTTAAACCTCTGTAAAATGTTTACGTTTAAGAATTAGGCCTCGCCGCGCCGTTTACCTTTAAGTTAGGGTAGCAATTATGCAACTGTTAAAGACGCACTTTATTTTATCAAGTATTGTTCCTACCAGCGGGGGCTAAAGTTTCATTGGGGTCTGTGTGGCACCACCACGCCAAGAATGTTTCATTATTAGGATGGTGGGTACTGTGGGTATACTCTGTTTTTTTTCTCAGGTAAGATTTCGACAGACGATGACAGAAAAAAAGCAGATGACGTCCCATACCAATCTATTTATTTTACTAAAAAAAGTTTCTAACAATTTTTAAGTTAACTATGGATGGGTTTAAATATAAATCCGTCATACGTCGTCGTTGTTTTTAACCAGTTTTATTGGTTTATTTCAAAAATGACAGATCGTATTTCAATTTTATTGGTTTGACGGAACGATGAACGACAAACGGACGCCGATACGTATGAACTCGCCTTTAGATTTTTGACGCTTGTCAAAGTCTTGCCAAATTAGAGGTTATAATTTTGTGTCAACTTTTGTCAGTTTTGTCAAATACCCTGCATTTTGGAAGATGGTGCATTTTGTTTCGTGTTATTACGTGTGTTTTGTGTCTTTTGAAGACAAGTGGAGGAAAAATCGAGTTTATGGTTAATACTCGCTGCCCAGGCAAAAAGTCTTATACACCAATAAAGTTACCATCATTAAAGTTCGTATACCATCTAGTCGTAGATAAGTGCATCTCGAATATGGTAGAAGAACCATACTAAACACATACTAAAAACTGGAGTAGCTGTAAAATATCGACATCACACGATACGTAAATAATGGATTTTAGTACTGCACAAGAAAAATAATGCCAAATGTACCGGTTTAAAAAATTAAGATTCAAGTTAATTAATCAACCTTTAAGGTACCTATAAAATTTGGTAAGTGTTATTAATTATAAAATAGTTTGTTTTATTTATGTTGTTTTATTTATTCCTGCGGAATATTACAAATTTGTATTTGTACGTAAGTTATATTGATAAATATAATCATAAATGCGGGAAGTTTCATAAAGCTTGAAAGTAAGAAATAGTTCTTTTTTATATTTTTTTGGTATGTGGTGTCTTGTTCTTGTTTGTTTTGTATTAACACATACCGTTTTTTATTAAATTAAATAACTCGATTACATTTTTTCAGTTTTATACAGTTTTTTTCACAATATTTTGAAGTAATCACTTGTCAGTCAAATTTTAAATATAATAATTTCCAGCTATGCGTTCCAGTTGTACCAACTTATTTCTTTGTAAAATAAAATAAACTACTTTGAAATTAAAATGACAGACACATATATCACTGTCAAGGATCTTCTCGTTGGACAGACTATAGTCTAAAAAGTATACCTCACTGGGACGCTAATTTTGAGGAAGCATTAATTGAGTGGTTTGAAGAAACTTTAAGAGGTTTATGTGAGATGAAGACCATCGACACATTGATTTTTCTCGGAAGAGTAACCATAACTCCGATTCTGAATCTTTTACTTATAGAAGAGAGAAAATTGAATAATCAATACCAGAAATGAAAGAGATGTGGTATATGACAACCATATGTCAATGAAGAAATGACAAAAAAACAAAAATCTCATGAATCAAATGTGCACGATACATGTGCGGCAAATGCAGATCCTATATTAGCATGAACTGTATTTGAAAAAGTTATGTACATTCAAGGTTTGCAGTTTTGTTGAAAATAATATATATATATATATATATATATATATATATATATATATATATATATATATATATATATATATATATATATATATATATATATATTACTACTTTAGCTTCACATTTCAGTTGTTTGTATTTTTAATAATACGGTAAAATCATAGAATATATATGTTTTTAATTTCTATGGGTTTCTTAGCCAAGTTATATTTTTGTTGTCAAAAAAGCCTAAAAAATACGTTTTACTTTATTTTTCTGTCCGTTCTTAAATTAAAAACTTTAATTTGTTGAAAATTAATGAAATTGTTTGTTCACAAGTTCGAATATATTGTAAACAGTGTTAAAATAAGACGCTTTTTATAAAATCTCTTCATCATGTATTTTAAACCAAAAAAAAAATGGGGTCCGTCGGACCCCGAGCACGCCATGAGCGTTACAAAAATTCACCACGCCAGTTGAGGGTTAAATTTCTCTAATCATAGTGATGTTTATAGCATAAATAACTGTAATATTTTGGTCTGTTAACATATCAGTGTAAAGTTAGTTTTAAATACTTTTTTATCATCACATGGTATGTATTTTAAAGAAACCTTCTTTATTTTTTATTGCATACCTGATTGCCTAATCTCCTCGCCAATCTTAAATGTTGCGTATGACAATCTACAGCACTGTCAAAATCGCCCATAGCCAGATAAACAGCTCCTACATTACCAATTTCTCTGGCTTCTTGCAATCGATCGCCCATTTGTTTCACCAGCTGGACACATTGCTTGTGTGAAGCTAGGGCATTTGGATAGTCACCGATTGCTGTGTAAACGTGGCCTAAAGATGTTAAGGCCGCTGCTGCAGCTTGTGTATCCTTAAATCAAAATAATTTTGATCTAGTAAAAGGGTAGTTTTATATAGATTTGACTTACTTTGCATTTCATGGCAAGGACAAGTTGATATCTGTGAGCTGTCAAAGCTTCTTTGTAAGAGCCTTGGCTGAAATACGCTGAACCCAGGTTTCCATGTGCCCTGCATTCACCAGCCGTGTCACCTAAACTTTTGGCAATAGCAAGATCTTGCTGCATGTATCTAGAAAAATAATAATTGCTAACAATAAATACGTATAGAATGTTTAACCATCGTTCAACGTCACGTCATATATTGTCGAACTCTCCCAATCACTTGACAACCAGCGGAAAGAGATTGGTGATGTCATTACGGCATTTCGTAGATGACTGTATATTCTTTTTAGTAATTGAGGGGCTTAGAATAAAAGGAATACAAGTGAATTTTTGTTTTAGATTAACTTAAGTACAGATTTAGATACTTTCGGAAATACACCCCCGATTTATTTGGTATAAAAGAAAATTAAGTAAATTCTACACTCTACTCTACTTAGTACCACTGTAGAATTTTAAATCTAAATCTGTAATAAAAAAGTCACAGAAAGTCACATAAATTATTTTACCTCTTTTATTCTAAGCCCCTCAGTTGTATTTTTCTTTGATTTGGGGTTATAATTTTATTGACAGACATTCATCTTACTTAGTACCACTGTAGAATTTTAAATCTAAATCTGTACTTATAAAAAAGTCACTTGTACCCCTTTTATTCTAAGCCCCTCAGTTGTATTTTTTCTTTGGTTTAGGTTTATAATTTTATTGACAGACATCCATCAATGTTAAAATTAGAAATCGATTGTTGCTGTCAAACAAGTCACATTTTTTATTGCAAAAATTCCTCAAAGATTTAATCAAAATGAACAAGAGGTTATTGCTAATAGTTGGGGAGCACAACGTATAAAAATAGCTTCCCGTGGGAAAATTCATGAAGGGAAGGTGCCAGTGGAGTTGTTTTATTAGAAAAATTATGTATTCCATTAATTTTTATGGTGACACCGTCACAGATGTTGCGTTTGTCTATGGTTTGTTTGGAGTGCGTTAAACAAAATGGCCGCCATAGCAATATAGACAATGTGCGCTATCGTCGCCGCTATTTAACCGATTTCAATTTTTTTAGCTTGTTAGAAAGGTAACGTAAAGAGGAAAACAATTAATTCTTGAAAGTATTGCGAAAAAATAATATTTCGGTTGCAGGTTGGATTTAAAGTGAAAAAAAATTAAAAATATTGTGTTATATTATTTTTACCAAAATAAAATATGGTCTACGTTATATGATTATATGAGTTCATGTATTTAAAAAAAATTAAGTGATACATTTGCACATATTATATTAATAAAATTACAAATCGGCATCATCACTATCAACTTCATCATTACCTTCGTCGGGAAAATCAGGCGGATGCAAATTATCATAAGTTGATTAGTCCGCATTACAACTACACATTTCTGTGTAAGGTATATTGTTTGCTAAACATTTACATGGTGGTGAACATCGATTTTTAAGACACGAACATCTAATCAGTTAAAGAAGTGACTCTGGAGCATATGGTTCTTAACACATAACAGGGGTAAGCACTCCCTCTTCCAAATACCAGCCGTGTCCAACTGGATTAGGGATGACTGCATTTGGTTCATCATGTTTTGACCACACAAAGGCTTGAAGGTTAGCCCTCTTAATTGCGGGTGCAAGGAAACCTCTAGTGGCTGGTAACTTATCTCCAAGGGCTTGTTTGGCAGTAAACATTGACCATCGTAATTCTGCAAGTGATTTTGTTAGAGTGCTTGCTTTATAAACTCGACAAATAAATATTTCTAGCTGATGTAAAACATCATCAGGTACTAAATCAGTGGTACCAAGTTTCTGCAAGGCAGTAAGTTCTTCTTCACTAGCTGAAACAAATGCCTTCCAATATGACAACTTTCCTTTTCCAAACAAACTTCCAGTGGTGTCACAACCAGATATTGCATGGAACCCGGGCAGTGCTGAAGATTTTAGTGGTCCAAGTGAAATATATATGTTTTTAACTGATATTGCCTCGCCTGACGATGGTACAAAAAAGGTGTTTTCGGGAAGCTTTGCATAGCGCCTCACTAGCAAAACTAAAATATCTGTATCATTAGTAAATACCAGTAGTGTATCTGCACCTCTAACTTTCGCATTAATAGCATGAAGTATAATTTTCGTGTCGGCTTCTTCTTGAGTACTCTTTAAACAATCCAAAAAGCATCCAACTTCAGTGCGCCATGAAACAACATATTTTTTTTGCTGATATCTTGGCATGACTTAGAATTGTATGTGCAAGATATGTGGTTAATTCATCCTTGGTACGAGTATGTTACTTTTTCAAATTTATATTTGATATGTCAGTTGTGTCACATATTTTGTACTGTGTTGCGACACCGTCATGAAGCTTCTTATTTCTAGTAAGGTTTTTTATTGATTCGCCCAAGTACGTGTCGAAAATAACATGAAGTTCATCATATTGCCAGTATTTCCTTTGGATCTTTTGGGCGAACAAATCTGCAAGATCTTTACAAGTTTTCACTGCGCTAGTTTTATCAAGAGCCTGCAATTCTCCCATTGCATTTACAATTGCAACGCAGTTATTTGATTGGTGAACTTGAGCAGATGACAAAGAATCGTTGGCAGTGGATTCAATTGAAAAATTAACCTAACCTAACCTAACCTAACCTCCCATTGCATCTACAATTGCAACGCAGTTATTTGATTGGTGAACTTATGCAGATGACAAAGAATCTTTGGCAGTGGATTGAATTTTTCAATTGATTGCCAAAGATTCAAAGGAAATCTGTTCTTTTAGTTCAAAATTTGAATTAAAAGTAAATTAATTCAAATCTTGAACAGACTTCAAGATTTGAATTAATTTACTTTTAGCTGGGCACTGATGCATAAAATAATGTTTTTAGCTTAAGATGGAATATCATCGAATCTATCATTTTTTCGCAATGCATGTTAGGAATATTTTTTTCAGCTAGTACAAATACCTTTCGATCAAAATAAGATAAATTGGAACCGGTTCAGCAGGGACCAATATATGCCACTTGGTTCATAATGAAGCGACGGCCATCTTGGATAACGTCAACATAGCCACACGCAACATCTGTGAAAGTGTCCATCGACATTATTGGACTACATGTTTTTATCTATCGATTAGTACCACTAGTACCTTCCCTTCATTAACTTTCCCACGGGACACACAATGCTTCCGTACAAAAGTTTAAAAATTATTTTTTTTAATAAAGTATTGCATACCACAATTAAATGATGCATGTTTATGGAGTTATTAACAAGTAATAATATCCTAAGATCAAAATAACAGTATATTTGTAACCATAATAAAAGAAATTTGATTTTAGATATATACATACATAACATTCATAATTTCTAGCTACCAAACCATTTTAGGAATAGCATTTCTGTTTATCAAATCAAGTCCAGTTCTAAATATGTAGAACATTACTGCAAGCATGTTCATAATATGAAAATATGTAAATAACAACTAGGTCAGTTTTTGCTTTGTAGGAATTTTTTAATAACTAAATTCTTGAGTGGTTTATGTCGATTAAGTTTGCCATATCTCAAATGGATACATACCTATTCCCATATATGTAGCAGTGCCTATTTCTAGAGCAGTAATATTAATGGTAATTTTTGACATTACGGATGTGGAAACTTAAAACAATGCTGAATTTACAGTACATTTTAAAGGTATGTTTACATGAAATATAAAGTAATTAGTATATTTAGTTATACCAATACAAGTAGAAAGCAAACGCATGTTACAAAGCATTTATTTTCACACTTTATTTTCTAAACGTTAATTAGATAAGTACCATGTATCTTTGTTATTTATTTGAAGTTCTTGTTAAAATAAATTATTGTTTATTATTTTAATATTGGATATTGTTATACATTTTTTAAATATTCTGATTTTGACTCTGTATATTAAATATTATTTATACCGGGTGCGTCTCAAAAGTGGCTCACCCCTATAGCTTTTTTATTTTTTAAGATAAAAAAACGAGATTTGGTTTGTTAGTATATGACATAAGTTAGAATTGATTGACGTATTCAATTGTTTTTATTCATTTCCTGTTTCACCGGATTTCACCGGAAATTACTGCAACTTTTTATTTTTAAATGGCACCCTCGGTATATTTCCACTTTATTCAATAGAAATTGACACTCTGAATAGAATGACATATCATATGTCAACTTTTGATATACATATTTGCTTAAAAAGAAATCGTATTTTAAATTTCAATCTAGAGTGTTGTGGCTGTCGTGTCTTGTCCTGGGCGGTTAAAAGATGCTCAAATCGTATTTTTAATCATCATTTTTTCAAATGGAACGAATCTGGCTCATTAGCATATTTGGAAAAGGCATTTTTTTACGAATAATTTGATACCATACACTTGGTATTTCGAGTCAAATTTTCGTTACGAACCGGAAGTTATAATTTCAACTAAACCATATTCGAAAATGTCAAAAAGTTAACATATGATATATATGTATTCTATTTACAATGTAATTTTCTATCGAATAAAGTAAAAAAATATCCGGGTGCCATTTAAAAATCAAATGTTGTAGTAATTTCCGGTGAAACAGGAAGTGACCTAAAGCAATCGAATACACCAATCAATCCTAATTTATGTTATATACTAACATACCAAATCTCGTTTTTTTTATCTCAAAAAATAAACAAGTTATAGGGGTGAGCCACTTTTGGGACGCACCCGGTATAAGAATATTGGACATGAAATAAAATTTTATAAAAATTAAATGATTTCTTCTTACCCTATAGCTTTGTCCAGCTGATTTAAAGCCCAGTGTGCGGAACTCAGCGCGCTGAAAACGGAACCTCTCAGTTTCAGGGAACAAGAACCTATTCTTAGAGCGGATTCCAACACCGTTACGGCCGAATGATATAAACCAGCTGCTAATAATTCCTATGCAGAAGAAGAGAAAAAAATTATCGCAATGATTATATGCACGCAACGCGGTACGCGCGTAATCGATACTTGCGAGTTAATTAAAGAAAATCCGACGATCATTTACCTGACCGACGACCGATATAAGAACAAAAGGACTTTGGTTCAGTTTCATGACCTCCAGCTGTTGGAATGTAGGTTCCAGGTTGTGCCTTAATGGAGATTTAATCGACGCCTCTACCAATCCGGCCAAAAGTTGCTGGGAGTTGGGGTCTTGGCCCAGGCCTTGGCTGAAGGCAGCAAGGGCCTCGCCGTGTCTACCGAGGCATTGGAGTGATACGCCTTGCCTGAAATATTCATTCACTTAGTTTAAGTGATTTAAATTTATTTTCACAAACTAAAATCGTATACAGTATGGTATACAGGGTGCTAAAAATTCGAGGTACGAGCATTGGTATCTCGGTAACCGTAATAGATACGAACATGATTAAATTGGGGCAACGTTGCGCTCTAGGATGTTTACCAAGTTGTCATTAAAAAAGTTTTAAAAATTTCAAGGATTGCTGAGTTTTTTGGAAAAAACAATTTTTTTTGAAAATTAATTTTATTATGTCCTGTCGTTACTTTTAAGAAAATCAAAAAACTAATTGCACATTCTCATAGCCACTTTATAAGGGCTATCTGATAGTATTTTTTGATTTTTAAATTAGCTGATAATTTGTGAGATACAGAGGCCAACTTAATTTTTTTAAATACGGACTTGCATTTTTTATTTCAGATTTTGAAGATCTCGGTCTCCCGAGTACAATGATGTGCCGCACTTAATATTTTTTTTTTGTTTCGGACATTTGAACACAATGCATTTAAACTAATTTCAAATCCGGCTCTGTTTTTTTTATAAATATTTAATCTATTCATCGTTACAATATTGATAAGCTTTCAAACTTAACAATGACGTGGGGTAAAACATTATTGAATATGGAAAATCAAAAGTTGTATTACAGTACGTCTAGTGGATCTGTGTCTATGAAAGGAATGCGGACAAAAAATATTTAAATAAACAGCAATATATTTTATACGTCGACTTGACGAGTACGTCACCGCAAATCGCTCCGCCCAATCATTTTATTGGCTACTTGCAAATTTGTCGAATTTTGAATTTTTATTGATGGGACGCGTCTTCTAATTTGTTACGAAAAACATCGAGAGAATATCGTTTCCCCTCTCACGGATACCCCGTAGCTACAGAACGGACAGACATACTGTAGACTGTTTTGAAGAGGCGATAAAGTTAGTAATTTTGCTTAGAATTTCATTTTATCCGAAATCGGCATTTAAAAGTTATTTGCAAAAATATGTATATCTTCAAATAAATAAAGTGTTTAGTATACGGCCCAGACTTTGGGCCTAGAAAAACTACTATTAAAATACCAGCAAAAATATGATTTTGTCATTGTCAAATTCGATGTCACATTCATATCATAGATGATGGAAATAAATTTAGATTGGAAAACCCGTAAAAATATATGATTGTTTTGGATCGCGACCGTTGTACGCGATCTGGCCAAAGGATCTGGCGCTGCGGCGATAGCGGTTGTTAGGAACAACCGCAAACTATAAGAGAAATAATTTTCTCTTGTCAGAATCTTCAAAAATTATTAAATCTTTCAAAATTTAAAGGGCTCTCATTGAAAAAATTCCGAAAAGTGTTTAAAGCGTCCATTCTCAAAGTAATTATTGCTATCTTGTGAGTTTGATTTAAATTTTACTTACTAAAACTCGTGACAATTATGAAAAAGTGGCATTAAAAATTAAAAAAACTGTATTGTAAACTGTGAACTGCCAAAACCATGGTGGATCGTGGCATAACGTCGGTTTTCAATGTTTCATAGATGTTTCACATACATGTCCTTATATAAAATAAAGTGTCTTGTATGCAACACACTGTATTTTATTTACAAAATTAAAAGAAAATAATAATAAATTTTAATAAGCAATATTTGGCAACATAATTCTGGAAAAAGCCGAACCGATCCGAAATTATCAAAAGGTTTGGGTCGCGACCGTTGCAAGAATAGCGCCAAATAGTGTTTACATTGTCCTTATGGGCACTTTCCAATCTAAACTTGTTTCATTTATCTATGTCTTTGATTCATATTAAGTCACATTTTTTTTAATTTGTGTGGTGTGCAAAAATGCTTCGTTTGTCAATACACAAAAATGCTTCGTTTGTCCAAGGGTGCAAACTTTAACTTTGCATTTGCAGAATGAGTGAGAAGGAGCAGCTTACAATATAACTGAATGGAGAAGAATTGTAAATTCAGTCAACAGCGACAACCAGAAGTAAAGAGGCAACAAAGCAACGAGATTTTTGAATGTCCGGAGTGCGGTAGGCAGATAACATCACGTATCGGGCTGTTCAGTCACAGAAAAGCTCATGAAAGAAATCGCCTTGCGTGACCGTCTTCTGATGTGTGTCGAATACTCGTCAGCGAGTAATGGCTGTATGTATGTATGCAAACTTTACAAAAATAAACAATTTTGAATGAGATTTTGGGTGCCTGTGTTTTGTAATGCGCTTCAAAATTATTGTATATTATTATTATTTACAATATTTCTTTTTCAAAACTATTCCTTTCTTCTTTTTCCTTTAATTTCAAACGTCCAACTTTTTTGATTTAAAGAAGCACACCTTTAGGTTGTCGTAAAATATTTTTCCAAAGAAGGTCCATGGGTTCTGATAGACTCCGGTATCTCTTTATTTGCTCTTCTTTTTTGCTTCAGTATTGGTTATTTCTATATGGTCATATAACTAATATACCACCATTTACCCTTGAGTAGGTAGTTGGGTACATAGGGGCGTCATTCACAAAGCAGAATGAACTGAAATCATACCTGCGGAGTCGAATTGATTCCACATAAACGTTTTTTGATAGATCAGTAACATGTTTCGCTATTTGTCGCAAACTTTTTGGAGGACACAGAATAATCAATGAATTATAAATCAGGTACGTAAGATAAGATTTCCTTATTAATTTCTTATATTTACCTGTAATAAGCTTTCGGCCATGTAGGACAAAGGTCTCTAGCAGTAATGGCATCTTGGAGAGCTTGCGTAAACAATCCCTGTTTCAGTCTTGCCGCTGATCTGTTAGAGTATAGGATATGATTGGTTGGATCGAGCTGTAAAGCGTCGGTATAGAGAGATATTGCTGTTGGGAAATCGCCATTTTGGCAAGCTGCGTTTGATTGCCGAACCTGTAACAATTCATGAATGATAAATAAATATTAAGATATTACTGAGAACGGAATATTTTATAGAAAATTCGTAAATAAAAATATATCCTTAAATAAAGTTGGTTTTAATGTTTTCCGGCAGTAGTTTTTCGGACCGTAGCGCTGACTGAAGAGTACCAGGTTGTAAAAAACAGTAGTATATCTTCGTATACAATATGAAATCTTCCGTCAAATAGATTGGGCCAACAAAGAATTAAAAATAGATGGAGAATATCTTAACCATCTAAGAATCGCTAAGTCAAGAGTTCTGAAGAACTACAAACACAAATTAACGAACTAAATACAGCCAGCAATAAAGTAGGTTTCAAAGTTATTTTAACAAAAACTAAAATAATGTACAACAAACTAGTAGACAGAAAGGAAATTCTAATAAATAACATATATATTTGGGACAGCCAATGTACAGCTCGGGATCTCTACTACCAGAAATAAGCCGAAGAATGAAGTTAGTATAGAGCATAGATTTAGTAAGAACAGATATCACATTAGACATTTTAACCCGATCAAACAATCGGAGGTTGACTACGTACTGTAAAAACCAAATGAGATAGAGAAGGCGACATTGCCACATCTCAAATTTGCGCCTATCTACTTAGTTTAATTTGCAGAAAAGGTGACTTTAAAACCTTTACCGGATATCAATAAATCTCAATTTCTTAATTAAATTAATAGTTTATTTTTAAAGAAGCATGCGTAATAATATGTTATTAACCAGAGGATATATGCGTTACTATTAAAGGACATGTTTACTGTTTAATGTGCTGAAACGTCTAGAACTATTGGCAACGTCGCTGCTAGTCTTCCAGAATGAAATGAGCCGTCCGTCCCACCACCCCTCGCGACGGCCCTTGGTCCGTTATAGCGTACTACGTTTAGCTTAGGATGTGTTTGAAGTCGGAATCAAGTCCGAAGTGAACTTTTCAGTGTTTTTCAGTAGTTTTTGCTTTTGTTTAACGTACTTTTGAATCTGCGAATTTTCAATATGGTACGACAGTGTCAAATGTGTGGAAAAATAAGCTTAAATTACCCGAATTTGTCTCTTCAGGTAGGTAGGTATTGTTTCCGCCGCGCCGTAATTGCCGTACAGAGGCGTCCCACACAAGGGAGCCTCTCACAATTAAAATAATTTCTAATTATATTTGTTGAATTTTGATCTATTAAAACAAGAACGTAGTAGCCGGTAATTGAATTATAATTCGTCTCAATTACTACTTAACTGTTGTAGATCATAACAAATTTTAATATAAACGTTGCATTTGAAACTTTATTATAAGCCAGAAAGTGACATTTTTTTTCTTAAAATCATATTTTGGTCATTATATACGATATTCTAAAGGTATTTTGCTCAACAAATAAACAAAGGTGTTTACCCGCCCTTTTTTTACATTTTATTGCATTATTATATCTGCCCCTTCGGCCTCGTTTAAACAATTTTTTACTACCGTACAAATACCTCTTCCTAGAGTTATTTGTACGGTGTGTTTATCTGTTTTTTAGAATGGGACGAACTGTAAATAATTCTTAGGCTACTAGTTTTATACATACCTATATAACAGAGTGACCCAGGCCTCCAAAAAGCTTTTTACCTATTACGTTTTAGGTTTGTAATTTTTATTTCAATTTTTTACATAAGATGGGAGCCATTGTAACGCACATTTTCAAAATATTTTTGTCAACATACAGGGTGATTCTCGGGGTGATTCAAACCGCAATACATATGCGTAATACAGTTCATGAAGACTGGGACATTTAACTAAAATTTGATTGTCTGATGAAGCTACCTTTAAAAGTAATGGATTTGTAAATAAACGTAATATTCATTATTATGCGACAGAAATCCCATACTGTAGCACACAGATTTGATACTTTTAATGATAAATGGCTTCTATTGAGAGACTAAAAGGTAATTGCCTGGTATCAGAGCCATCATAATACAAGAAGAAGACCGAAAGTCAAATCTTGTCTTATATTTTCAAAAAAACACAATTTTCTCATTAAATATTGATTTTAGGTATAGGAAAAGTTATTAATAATACAAGATTAAACAACTATTACATAGTGCTTTACAGGAAGCTATCGATTGCGAACTAACTAAATCGTTACTAATTACTAATTTTAAAAAGTTCTTTTTAAGATCAAAAAAGGTAAAACTAAAACCTAAATTATCATTTGAGGTTAAACGGGAAGTTCTAAATAATGTTGCCTATTCTAAACAAGAAAAATTTATTTATAAGTTTTATAACATCTCTAATTAAATTTGGACGAAAATAATATTTCTGTTTGCTGTAGGTAATTTTCTCAGGTGGCAACCCTAGGTATTTCTGGAATGGAAATTTAATGGCAAATCTACAACTTTAGTTTGAAAATATGTTCCGGCCACCTATGTTTACAAAAATGTCTAAAATGTGCTTTACCATTGCCTCCATATTCTGAAAAAAAAATTGAAAGAAAAGTCACCAACCACAAACTTAATATAGAACTGTTTCGGAAGCCTGAGTCACCCTATAAATATTCAAAAGTAACTGAAAGTTTATATAGAATTAACTTAAAGTTTAAATTAAAAATCGACGTTGGAGCGATTTTCGAAAACTACCTACTAACGTTTCAACATAAGTATATGTGGGATACTAATTATATTATTATATTAGACCTTATAACAAAACTCATCTGACGAAAAAGTGTTAATGTAGTATATTAATATGGAGTAAACATTTTACTAATTAGTTTACTTTTACTTTACTAATTAAATTCGTTCCAAAAAACGATACGCCACTGGCCATTAGAACAATCCAAATGCGCCTAGTTGCCGGGGTCGGAAATTTTAGACTTCTCTGTCTCTTCTGTCCTTGTTTGACACATTGGAATGTTTGATACACTACCAACGAGTATTTATGAATGAGATGTTCGGTCTATATTTATAATGTCTTTGGTATAGAGTAATTATGAAAGAAACTCAATCATAATCTAGAATGCTACTTTATCTAAAGAAGAAAATATTCGACCAATGTGTACTATCAGTTATGACCTATGCATGCGAAACCTGGACTCTTACAACCGGCATTATAAGAAAACTGCAGGTCGTAAAACGCTCAATGGAACGAAATGTGCTGGGAATAATCAAGAAAGACCGTAAAAGAATAGAGTGGATGCGACAACAGACTCAAGTAATAAATGTCATCCACAGAGTCAAATCCCCCAAGTGACAATGGGCAGGACACCTGGCAAGGAGGATGGACAACAGTTAGACCACAAAAATTAGAGCATGATACCCACGAGGAATTAAGAGACCTAGAAGAAGACCGAATCTGAGATGGGACCATGATATAAGAAAATTAACAAAGCTAACTTGGGCCCGCATAGTCAACAATAGGCAACAATGGGCCCAACTAGAAAGAGAGTATCTAAATATGTGAGGGAGGCTATACCATAATTGGAAATGGTTGATTAAGCTGAAAATGATGATGATGATAGTTGTCTATAGTAAACTAATGTGTTAGTACTACCATTAAAAAATTACATGAGAATACTTTTTTTTTAATTAAGGCTCCAATGTCTGTGTTTGTAAATTCGAGTTTTCAAAAAAAAATTGGATTATTTTTTACTGTTTGTTAAAAACATAATATCTTGATTTTATGGTAAAATAGGGTGTAGATTAAAATTACTAAAAAGAAAACCCAGAAAATATCTAGTGGTTCTTAAAATATAACCAAAAAATCATTTTTTTATTATAGTGTTCAAGTAAACTAACTGGGATTATTTTGGACTTATTTGAAAAATGGTAAAGAGAAAATATTGTTACGGATTCCGTGGGTCCACTAATTTAAACTCACGATAAAATACTTAACGAATTTATTTTCTCACTTTATACACAATTACTAACTTATAACACACAACAAACTAACTATTTATAAGATTCCTTCACCAAATTGTCCGATTTTCAATTTCCACGCGGTATATTCAAATTTCAAAAACTGTCTCAGTTGTCGATGGCTCCGGCTTATATACTCTATTGACTGCTTCTCGAAATTTCCCCAATTCTCGGAAAGCGTACTTCTTCATACCAGACAATTCCATTGTCTGATTCCCTTACTTCTCGATTTGACTAAAAGATGGCGCCTGAAAAAGTCTTTTAATTTCTGGCGGATACGTTGCGGTTGTGCAGGCAACCAGTAATAGATTTTTAATTTCTGGCGGATGCGCCATTTTTCTTGACATTGCCCCCTTCTCAAATTTGATCGTCCCGATCAAGGTTTCCTGTCTAGTATCTCTTCAATCGATCCAGATGAACTACTTTCATCTTACTTCTAGGGCTGCGTTGAATCCGGTACACAACATCATTTATCCTCTTGATGACTGTATAAGGACCTTCCCATGCTGGAGTTAACTTTGGGGACCTCCCTTTCTTGCGCTGTGGGTTATATAACCATACCATATCGTCCTGTTGAAATCCCGTAGAATTGGCTCTGAGGTCGTAACGAGCTTTCATCCGGTCACTGGCTAGCGTAATCTTACTTCTTACGGCCTTATGAATTTCCATTAACCTTTCCTTCAGTTCATCCGCGTAGTCCTCTACATTTGTGGTGCCGTCGTCTGGTGATCCGAACACCAAGTCACAAGGCAACCGTAATTCTCGACCAAATAAAATCTTCGATGGTGAAAGTCCGGTGGTGTTGTGAACTGCACTTCTATACGCCATTAGGAACAGCGGTATGTGTTGATCCCAATCTCTTTGATGTTCGGCCACCATTTTCGAGAGGTGTTCTTCAATGGTCTTATTGAATCTTTCGACCATCCCATCAGACTGCGGATGTAAAGCTGTTGTCCTAGTCTTGTGAATACCAAGCAGATCACACATCTTCTGGAACAGTCTTGACTCGAAGTTCCTTCCTTGGTCAGTGTGAAGCTCTAAGGGAATTCCAAATCTACTGAAGACATTATTGACCAATACTTCAGCTACAGTC